CAAATATAAGTCAAACCCTTGATCCAACGTCAAACGGATTTTCACAATCAACTATCAATTAATTAACAACTATATAACTCATTTTCAAGGTGGAAAGAGAGGGATCGAGCCTTTGGTCTCTCTTTCGGTTGTTTGGATGCGGGTTATCTTACTCGTGTGTGAGTAATTGACGCCTCTAAAACATTTCCAACTCGACAACCTTTACTTATCTTCCAAACACTTACCATTTCAAACACAACCATCTTTTCAAGATGAAAAAGAGAGAGAGAGTCAAGTCTTTGACTCGCTTTCCCGATTGCTTGGGCCCGAGGAGCCTTTCTTAAGCTTCGAGTAATCGTCATCCGATTTAAACTTCAAACCTTTCTACCCATCTTTTCGTGGTCGTCTCCACGAACTACAATTGACCTGATTCTTTATTCTCGTCTGAATGTAAGATACGTAGGCACAAGATTATGATGATCTTGGTGAGCTACCCCCCATCCATCTCTCGTTTCCCCCCATCCTTTCCCGTAGTCGAACTATGACAACTCTGATTTCTCATTCTCGTCTGAATAAGCATACGTAGGCACAAGGGCCCCAATCCCTGTCGAGCCACCTTATCCTTTGACCATCCCTCTCCCTTAGCATTTTTATCTCATCTTATCTTTATCCCTTTATCGTACCGTTTAACATTTAATTTTGAGAAGAAAACTACTAAGCATAGCTAACGTTCATCATAATTCGAATTAAGAGGTTCACGTTGAGTACAACGGACGTGGGGGGTGCTAATACCTTCCCCTTACGTAACTGACTCTTGAACCCGGAACATTAGGTTGCGACCTTGTTCCTGTCCTTTCATTCTTTAAAAGGTTTTCTCGATATTTTCCTTTCTCGTCTATTCGGGATGAATAGAGTTCGGCGGCGACTCTGTCAAACTGTATTCCGCGCCTTTTGCACGAGGGTTATTTCTCATTGATTTTTTTGAGGTGCGACAACTGTCTATCTGGAATCAACCTTCACTGTCCCAGACATGCTGACACGACCGGTCGTGTTAGCCCTCTGGAATCTCCCTTTCTGTTCCAAGCATACTGGCACGACCGTGTCAGCTAATACGGGCGTTCGTGTCAGCCCCCTGGAATCTCTTTCTTGGTCACACATATCCTCAGTATAATTCATCTGAGACTGCTGCTTCTCTAGAATCTCCTGATGAGCAGGTCTTGGCGGATCTCCTGGAGTAGTCGGCTCCATGTACGAATGTGAGACCCTGAATAACTACCTGATGTTTCCGTTGACGTAACTCCAATCATTCGGTGCTATGGTAGTGTTAGCTGTTAATTTCGATGCATGAATGAACCTAAAAGCAAGAAATGAGAAATCCTGAAGAAATTTGATTATTTTGATCAGAGCTATATTTTTGGATTGGGTGTCAAAGACATCAAGTCGACAGGAAAGTCTGTATCGAGGACTTAGAAATATTTTTCAATAATTGGAGGATTTGGTTCGACAGAGCTATTAATAAGGGGATTTTCGACAAAGATCATTTTGAATTCAAATAAAAGAGGGAAAGACGGTTTTCGTTAAAGCAGATACGTGGGGCACTTTGAAGATGTGAGACCGTACATATCGACATTTGTCTTAATTTCGTCCGTTAGATGGCAATAGCGGTTATTTTCTATTATTATAAATAGAAGGTCTTAGTGTTAAGATAGAAGTGTTTAATTGTGTATAAAATTCTTCAGTATGCTCCTAGTACCTGTGTGTTGAGAGAAACGAGTTTTTGCAAGAATGTACGTTGATGAAACACCAGTATTTCATTTCAATGCAGTTTAATGAATTTGTTCTTTAAGAGTTTTGTCTTTTCCTTATGCAAATTCCTATTTTAATTATTTACCAGCACTCCAATTTTATTTCTTGCCATTCGAATCTATTTACATTTGAAACAACTTGCTTTATAATGAACTTTGTCGAAGTGTTAATAGTTTCTGTGAACTTTGGTTGAGATCAATTAGCACATGTTCTAGGATTTGTATGGTCGATCCTGCAAGTAAAACAAATCTTTCTTGATTTGTCAGACCAGCGGTTGTTCGCCATTTTTCACGGCGAACAAATTGGCACGCCAAGTGGGACAGTGCTAAGTGATCGTAAAAAATTATTACTTCAAATATTTTATTATTTGGGAATTTACTTCAAATATTTTATTGTTTGGGAACTTATCAGTTTGTTGTTCATTTTTTTAGAAAACTTCGTTGTATGTTATTAAGAAGTGGTAAATTAGTCACTGCTAACGAAGGTAGAACAAAAAGAGGATATAGGAGGAAAATGGAAACAAATTCAAACCAGTCAAACATTCCTTAGGAGGTTCTGAATAACAATGTAGAACAACTCATAGGTCTTCGTCAGAAAGACCAACAGTCTCAGGGCTTGTCTCTGAATCAATACCTTCCATGGGAAGTTTGGTACTCACGCACTCGATTTCCCATATGTAACCTATTCTAACTTATATGGGCCCAATGGGTCTTCCACGGACCCACCGCCGATGGACATTTTGACAGTTAGAACCATTCCTCCCCCTGGGTTTTCAATGCCTTTGCCTCAAGACCCCCATATGGAATGCCAACTTCAATGATGGCAAACCTACAAAATACCCCCTCTTTATATTCAGAACCAGTAATGACTTCGCCATTACAAGGATCTGACTCTTGGGTAAATGTGGGTTGAAATAGTCAAAATTTAGGAATAAGGTATTTAGCCCAGATGCTAAGTTTTTTTTACATCCATGATTCCAGCATTCCACATCAGCCAAATTCTCCCATTGGAATGGTGGGAATAGTTGTCCAACCAGTCCCAATTATGTGTAAAAGTCCTTTTAATTTTATTTGCATTATTCCTCTTTACCCTAGTTTCCAACAAGGCCACACAAGACATATGTACCTTCTTGAGATGGCTCCTATCTCAATATGCTTGGCTCTTTTATTTAAGCCCCTTACATTCCATGGCAAAATCATGGCACTTTGTCATAAGAAGTTAAAGGACTATCTCCAATCCTAAGAGCCTAAAATCTATTTTGACATCCAACTGTACTATACCCAACTTTCTCCACTTTATTATTTTCTACCCTGATTTCTTTTCCTTTATGTATAATGTAAGACCCCACTTTTAGTTGTTTTGTAATCATTGTCTACTTGTCATTTTGTACTCATATATTAATATTCTGCCCTGACCCAACTTGGTTGTTCAACTATTGTGATTCAGAATTCTGCTTGGCTATCCATCCACGTTTGTGTTTGTTGCTTCTTTGAATTAACAATTTTTTTTCAGTGCACAATCATGTCAAACCTTGTTACATACCTTACAATATGGTGGCTTTCATTCATACTCCACCAGTTGAATGAGTTTGTTCCACTTCTGAACATTGATGATAATATGACTTCTCAACTAAGTTGTAATAACAATCTCAATTAGTACTCGAGCATATGAAACTCCTAAGTTTTTTGCCCCGCATTCATTTGTCATCATAGGTTTCCCAATAACACTCACAATTTTTCCAATACACTTTTCTCCCCAATGGAAGTTGTGGAAAGATAATCCAAATAAGTAGTACATGAAACATATCATCCTTGAGGGTAAAATATGTAGTCCATTGTAATACATGGGTTTGCGATAAATATTATAAGGGCCACACATGAGAACTACATCTCTATCCGTTTTCGATCGTAAACAAATGATGAAATAACCTTCCTCGTTGTAATGCAACTCAAGGAGTGAGACAAAGTTCCATACCATAGTCATAAAACGCTTAACCACATTCACCGATAATTCCTCACCTAATGCATACATAATAAACGCATTCTCCCAAAATTTTATTTCAAATTCAACATCCTTCTTATCAACAGTCACCTTAGTTTTTCCATCCACAATAATTAGAGGTGTATAAACAATTTCAATACCATTAGAAGGTAATCAATTACCTCGGATGACATCCATCCATGGTGCTTTTTTGGGTTTGTTCCTCCTTGCTTTTATTATCAAATTTCTCAACAGTAGGAGCCAGTTCCGATTTAGTCTCTTCTTCGATGATATCTAAATCAGCCTTCGATGGATTCATCATTGAGATCAGACTAGTTGTCGGTGTTCACCCCCTTTCAACTTCCTTTGCCATTTTCCACCGAGTTATCCATTAGATCCATGCAATCGAGTATTAGATTGTTGCGAACAAACTCTCACCACCGCCGAAGGTGTCATCACTGCCTTTTTCCTCGGCCGACCATGACCTCGTGCCATTTAGAGAGTTGTCCTCTAGATTATTTTTTATGCAAATAATTTGTTTTAATATTTAATTCATAAATTAATTTTAAATGTAATGTGTAAATTTACCGTGGATATAATTTTGAAATAAATTTAGTGTGAGAAAGAAATTAGTTTTTGTTAAATAAATAATAAAATGTAAATATAAATTATTAAAATAACTTAAATTTTGGCACAAAAATAATTTATGTTTTTATCCAACTTTTTATCATCAGTTAAATTCTAGAGAGACTAATTAATTAAATAAAACATAATTTAAGAATATATTAATTGTTTAAAGATTAAATAAATTGATAAAATAATGATAGTTTAAATACTAATAAATTGATTTTTTTTATAAAAAATAATATATGTTAAAATTCAAAATCCAGGGAAATTCTAATTTCAGGTTATTGTATACCAGATTCTGCCACATGTGCTGTGTGCTCTAAAAAATTAGGTTAAAACACTCGTCAATCCAAAAACGCAGAAGCCTTTGTGTTGCTTCAGTTTCTGCCGTCGTCCTTAGCCCTGCCGCTCTGTTGACCTGTGTGAAGCCGTCGAGCTATACTTCTCCGTCAAACCGCAAACTATAGGTTGGTTGTCGATCTGTGCTTCTCCGTCAAACCGCAAACCATAGGTGGGTGATCGAGAGATTCTAGCCGCTATATCGTAAGGTTTTTGTTTATTTATTTATCAGTTTGGTTGTTTTTGAGTTGCAGCAAAATTGATAGAAGATGAAAACGCGAAGACGAAATTATGATAAAGACAGACTCAGTGATTTACCTGATTGTCTTTTACTTCAAATATTGTCGCATTTGAATATCATGCAAGCTGTTCAAATATCAATCCTCTCCACAAGATGGAAGAATCTCTGGAAACATATTTCTGTTCTTTCTATAAATTATAGTCACTCCTTCCAAACTCTCGAGAGTTTCACTAATTTCGTCTATCAATTTTTGTCTCATCGCAATGGCAAAACCTGCCTGCAAGCTCTGAATTTCGACTGCGACGAATATATTGAGTCTCGGTTGCTCAAAAGGATCATGAACTACGTATTTTCACACAATGTCCAACGATTAGATATCACCGTGGCTTGTAATATTGAACCATTTCCACTTTGCAGCTTTCCATATCACACTTTAACCTCTCTTAGACTTTTTTCATGCAGGGAATTTTCTTGTTCAAACCCATCATTTCCAAATTCTCTTAAATTACTACCTGCATTAACCTACTTGTGTATTGAGTTCTTTACATTTCGCGATGATTACTATGCTGAGCCCTTTTCTGTATTTAAAAGTTTGAATACTTTGCTCATTCAATTTTGTGATGTTTTTAACGAAAACAACTTTCTTCACATATCAAGTGTCTCCCTTGTTAATTTAACAATAGCGTTGCCTTCCCACGCTTACAAATTCAAGTTATCTACCCCCAATCTTTCTACCTTTGATTTTTTGGGTGATCCCTTACAAAATCTCTGTGGGAGCACTAACAATAACTGTTGCAATTTCTCTTTTGTTAAACATGCAAAGATTGCTTTACCAGTGACCGGTGTCGAAAATTTTCCTTCTATATTATTCAATTGGCTGGTTGAACTTGCTCTTGTGGAATCATTGACAATCTCTCCAAGGGCTCTTGAGGTATTTTAATTTGGTGCTTTCATTCTTTTTTTATTTATTTCCTTGCATTTTTTTATTGACTTGCCTTAAATTGATCTTAATTCACCTTCATTCCTCGTTACATAGATTCTCAACTTAATTCCTGAATCATGGAAGATTGATTTTCCTTATTTACATAACTTGAAGTTACTGAAAATAGAATCATACTATCCTACACCAATACCCAATGGAACATGGGAATTTTTGCTTCAAAATGCACCTTCAGCAAAGAAAGTTAGAGTCATCAAAAGGTAAATATGCATTCAACTTTTAAATTCAATTGTTTAATTTACCTTTTGCTTTCTTTGTTTCTTTTTCCCTTTTTATAAGTGGATAAATTACAAGTCATGTTACAATGGATACCCTAATAGGATTAATACTCCTACGAATTTGGTGTTACAAGATTAAAGATTTATGAATTAAGCTTAATAGTGTTATATACTCCTTCGGGTCGTAAATATAAACAAAACTCATCTATCATTATTACATCCAATGTCATTATTTCAAATATACTTTTATTTTTTATTCACATTTCTATTTCTATGTTTTTAACTATATCCAAAGGAAAAAGCGGATAAGACTTAAATGTATTTAGACATTTTTTTTTTAAAGGGTGAGTTTTTTTTTATTTATAAATTTGCTTATAATTGAGATCGAAGAGAGTACTCTGTAGTGTTATATTTTTATTGATATCCGCCTTAATTTTCTGCCATATTTATAACATACATTGCCTCTATATTTTACAGAACCACCTAGAGGACTTTTATTTCAAAGAGATCAGAATAAGCGCGGATGGCCATGACTACGGCAATCTTTCCAAAAGAGATCTTTTCATATTCATAGCTAAAGAACATTATTAAGATTTATTTATTTTCCATGCAACTTACTGAATTATTGTTTTTATTATGTTTATCAAGAGGATTTATATATTTCAACATTTTTGTGGCATCTGTTTTATCCTTATTTGTTGAATTTGGACCATTCAGCTATGCTGTCACTCTCTGATAGAGGCAAGGCATAGCCAACCCCAAAAATGGAACGGATCATCTAGGAAGTTAGTTAGGGATCTTCTTCCCTGCTCCATCAGTCCATTGTCTACATGATCTGTATCATAATAGGAGATTGTTGCTTCCAAATAGTGTCTCTATTTTTATAGAAATGTCCTCAATTCAATATACTCCTACTTTACTTGGTCTATAGGTTTGTAAAATCTGATCCATGTTCACACAATGAAAAATATTGATAGGCACTGAATGATAAGAGATGAGAGTTTATGGGGGCAAGGGAAACTAAGAAATCAGAACATCGTTTCTTAGATAATTGGTCATAAATAGGTGATGACTCATTTCTTGTTATTGAATTAAGGTGGCTCTCAAATTCACTGTCATTCATTATACTCTATCTTAGATGATTATTTACATTATTTCTCTGGTTCTTATCATTTTCTAGTCAATCAATAACCAGTATCGAATATGTTATAAAAAATTAAGCCAATTACTTCCAAAACAATCCATTTTGTATTCTGATAAACTCACTTTATAGGAATTTAGGAGGGAATTTATCCTATTTTCATTTGATGATTTTGATCTCTTTAATGTGTTTATACTTCAGTTTTGCAAAATTGGCTTGTGTTAGAAAAGTTCAAATTGATGACAGCTATGTTATGGATAAAAAATGTCTTGGCTGCAAAATATATAACATCTATGTTATGGATATTTAACTTTGTGTAAATTAAAATTATGTTATATATTATATTATCTTTAAATGTTTGCAAAATGTATAATTTTTTTAATAATCTACTGGAAAAGTTATGTTATGATTCAAAAGACAGTTTATCTAAATACACAGAATCTAGATCAAGCGGTTTTTGTCTAATGGGCCCTTACAATAAGATACAAATTAAGAGAATTTCTTATTATACTCTGAGTTTCTTTTTTACTGTGCGTTTTTTTTTATAAATGTTTTTAGATTTTGGAGATATATCTTCGGATGTGTCTTATGGCTTAATAAAATTTTAGAGATATATCTCTGGAGCAATTTAAATCTTAAATAGTAACAATATATCTCCCATAGCCCATTTTCATTTGAATTTGTCTAGAGATGCATTTACGGTAATTTTTCGGAGATATACCTTTGAAGTATTTCAGAATAATTTTTGCATTATGCATATGTTCGAAAATGAATTATAAAATAACACACACCAAAATAGCATAACAATATTGTAATAGGATGTCATATGTCATGTAAAATCCAAAATATAATAATAATGTTAGAAAAACGAACAAACTATAGTACTAAAACAAAATAAATACTACGATACTAAAACAAAATAAATACAGACAACTACTGGATGTACCTGACAACCACTCCTGTGCCTCATTTGCCTGGTCTGCCTCCTCGACCATCGACCCCCCTGTCCTCGCGCGATGTCTGTGGTACAAAAGTGACCCACGTGCCTCCACAATAATGTCATCTAGTACTCGTATGACACCATATCTCTTAGGGAAGATACCCTTGATAATGCCTACCCGTGCCATCTTCACTATGTGACGACAATGATCGGAAAAATAGCAAGTGTACTATTTTGTCAATGTAGTAATAAGGAAAGTTTTCCCGAATATCGATCTCGAGGACTGCATAGGAAATACAAGTTCTATAATAATTCAGTTGAACAAAAGTACTTGGAATTTTGGATATTTAATTGAAAAATAATAAAATACAGAGATAAAATAGAGTAAAATAGGTTTCTGACAGATATGAGAAGCATGCTAGGGATGATGTATGAATTGCCTTGTAACAACCTTAATCCTTATTCACAAAACATGACTTAAAACAAACCTTTCCTGATCCTCAGGTATATTTTTTTCCTAAGGCCTTAGAAAAAAAAATATTTAATATTCATCTCAAACCCTAAGTCCTTAGAGATTTAGGATGAAATCAAGCATTATATTTTATCAAGAATGTTACGGTTATTATAGGATATCTCTAGTCCTAGGTGATATATACTATAGTATTATTGCACAAAAAAACATTAACAGTGGTTTGTCCGACCTAAGGTTAACCGTAAATCAATTTCCACTTGTCCGATAGAAAAAGCATTAAACACATTGCACAATAAAATTGATTATGAAAAAAAGCACTTATTTCATAAAATAAAGGAAATCAGATTTATTACAAAAGCAATTCAGAGACACCCCCTAGCATTGGGGGGTTTAGCTACTAATAATATTTAAAGTAAATTTAACAATTAGATTGAACATTACAAGATAATAGGATTGCCTTGATCTTCAATTGCTTCCGCTCATGAAAACCTTCCGTTTTTCAATCACCTTGATCTCTCCAATTTTTGACCGTGTAATTCTTTTTCTGTCAAAAGTCCCTTTTTCATTCTCAAAATGCGTTTTAAATACTCTCATGTCCAACCCAGCAATAGAAAAATACCCAAAATACCCTCATGGGTCACACATGTCAAAAATCCAAGAAAATTAGAAGATGAAGCGTTTCAGCCAACACGAGTCGTGTCAGTTGATACTGGCGGCTGTGTTGGCTCATTGTCTATATGGAATCATCCTTCTCTATCCCATGCATGTTGATACGGCCGTGTCAGCCCCCTGGAATCTCCCTTTCTGTTCCAGGCATGCCGACACGGCTGTGTCAGCCCCCTGAAATCTCCCTTTCTGTTCCAGGCATGCCAACACGGTCGTGTCAGCCCCCTGGAATATATTTCTTGCATCTTTTCTTGGTCACACATATCCTCCTGACACGACTCGTGTAAGAAAACACGGGTGGCCGTGCCAGGCCTTATGTAGCTTGCCAATTTCACTCCCGAACATACTATATTATCCGCTTTTTCGCTCTGATTCTTCCTTATTGCTTACCTGAACCTAAAAACAATGGAAATACGAAACCAACACATAAAATGCGATAAAAGAAAATAAAATGCAACTAAACATATAAGAAGACTAACTCAAATTATTGGTAAAATAACGCATAAAAACCACTGATCAAACTCCCCCAAATTTAAACCATTGCTTGATCTCAAGCAACAAGCTTGGATAAACATTTTTTAGATCAAACGGTACACATCAAATAAAAGACTTGTGAAAGTAAGGTGTGTCGATACTCATACGTGAGCCTTTGTTCTGATCGGCTAAAACTAGTTCTCTTGATAATCATTCGTTAACTAAGGTATTACACAAACACATACCGCGGTAAATCCACGAACCTAAGTCCTCCTTTAGGTCACCTCTCCAACTATGATTTGGGCTTAAGTCTTTTCTTCGATTTTTTACCCCTTTCATTCGGATAATCAGATTAAGGCATTTTTATCGCTTTTTCTCACATGTATAAAATTTGATCGATACTTTTTCGAGGCACCTTTATTTTTTTTCTCGTGAATTTGCGTTTATTAGTATCCTTTGGGGCGACTATAGAGATTCAACCACCGTTAGGCTAAGTAACCGGGTGAGGGTTGTAACACCCTTTTCTACCCCACAATTATTAAGGCAAAATCACACAGATAACAAAGTAAATTATTTAACTCGATAAAAATCACCTCAAAGGGTGTACATTTCTCAATAGCTAAAAATAAGTCAATGCTCCGTGTACAACGGGTTTTCTCAAAACACATCAAATTGCACAAAGCAGCGGAACTCAAAAGGTGTAAATCAAGGTTTTCCTCATACGGGAAGATAAGAAAAATAACTCAACAGTATATAGTTTAACTCAAAAGAACCCAACCCGATGTTACATATCAGAGCAAGACCCTCTAAGTTAACCAAAAAGGATAACAACTCAAAGAGTTCAAAAATCCTCAACAGCGTCCACGGCTAAACCTGATCATCTGCATGTTACCCACGTGGAGGTAACATTCAAACAGGCAGGGTGAGTAAAACAATTCATAGTAATCAATGTATAAAAATCAACATATAAATGGCATCATAATCATATTCAAAACATTCATATCCTTCAATATGCCTCAAAGGCCACAACGTCATACTTCATACAAAAAGACCCATAAATGCAATGCAACAAGATTCAATGTATGTGGTACCAATCATCACAACACGATGGACACTGGGCCATCAACCCTCCATAGATCCCCATCAATAGGATCGATTCTACTTGAGAATCGGAGCACATCAAAACACTTCACATCCACACAATGGGATTGAAGACAAAGTAATCGAGGTCCTGAACCGAAGTCTGGATGCACATGAATGCATGATGCACACGTCACAAATCATCCTCATAACAACATCATAGGTGCATCATCATTCATCATATTCATCATCATCAAACGTCATAACCCATCATCATACATCATATCATCATAACTCATCATAATAATCATCATCATACATCATGTCATCATAATAATCATCATCACATAGAGCTCACAACCATACTCATATTAATTCATCATATTATCACATATTATCACATATTAATTCATAATTATACTCGCGGTAATCCTCATACTATCGCCTATTAATCACATAAACTTCACAGTCCCACTCATGTTAATCTGTCACAGAAATCGCAGAATCAAACATCAAAGCATCGCTGCACACGATCAACATACGTGAAACTCTGCTACGTTCGCTGGCATGTTCGTTAGGTGAGTCTGGGGCGAGTTTCTTCGCTAGGCGAAGCATTCTTCGCTAGGCGAGTCTGGGAACAACACTGTTCGCTAGGCAAAGCATTCTTCACTAGGCGAACTGTGCGATGACAACAAATTCTGCTACGCACCAGAA